TTTTGTATTAGTAGAAGGTTGGTGAGTCCATATCGTAGTAGACTTCATCCAAACACATTAGAAGCATTAATGCGTGCACAAAGTTGGTTGTGGGGTGCAGAGATGAAAGGTACTCATATCATTATTTCATTTAATCTACATATTATTATTTCACGTTTATATTATCATGGAATAATTTCAATATTGAATTTATATTCTTTACTTTTTAGGAAATTCAACATTGGAATCGGTGGGCTATACGACCATATATGATGATGATGATGATGAGATCGACTCAGATGAGTCGTGTGCCACTTTTGTGTTAGTTGTCATCTTTTTTGTTTTAATTTTTAACATTTTTTACATCTTATTATTAGTATTGATTTTTTTTTTCCTTTTTGTTATTTAACAGGAATTCAAGTTGAAGAAGATGATGAAAGTTGTAATGTGGTTTGAAAGTTGTAATGTGGTTGTATGAGTATTGGACAAACAATCTTTTTTTTTTTTTTTTGGTTTCATGATGGATTTGGTTTTTTATATTGTAATGGATTTGTTTTTTTTTTTAATTTTATTTTTTGGGTAGCCTATCCCTTGCGGGTTGTGCTTGGGACTAATTATTATGTTTGCAACTTGTTGAATTTTCCTTTCTGTGGGCTGCTGGATGGAATATGCTATTTCAGTTAACAGATTATGGCTACTGGATGGAATCTGTCAACTTGTTGAATTTTTTTGATAGCCTATCCTATTTGAATATGTTGAAAAAATGTTGATAGAATATGTTGAAAATATGTTAACAGATTATGCTATTGAGTTTAGCTTGACAGATTATGATATTGACAGATTATGTTGCTATTGAGTTTATGTTGACAGATTATGTTAACAAATTATGATATGCTATTGATAGATTATTTGAAAATATGTATAGATTTTTTAATTTGCTATTAAGTTTATGTTGACAGATTATGCTATGCTATTGACAAATTATTTGAAAATATGTACAAATTTTTTAATTTGCTATTGAGTTTAGTTTAACAGATTATGCTATGTTATTGACAGATTACAAATTATGCTATGCTTTTGACAGATTATTTGAAAATATGTACAGATTTTTTGTTTGAATAGGATGTTTAAAAAAAAAAAGATACTATAATTCGAGGAATTTGCGGGGTCGAGGATACCCGATCCCTGATCGGATGCGAGGCCGAGGGGGGCGATGAGGTCCCCACCGGGGATCGGGGGCGGAGAAGGGGAATTTCTCATTTTCAGGGATCAAGGATGGGGAGTGTAGTCCCCGACCCCACCCCTTCCCGCCCCCTCGCCGTTGCCATTCCTAGGGAGAAAAGGGTAGCGCTCAGCCTCGCCAAGTCTTTGTTCAAAGAGACATGTACAGCTAGGCGTGATGGCAGCATTGTGACTTCTTCACTGGCTCAATCTCTATGGGACAGCCGCTGCAATGCCAGCATCCCTTGCACCTCCCGCCGGCGTGCTCGTTCTTCTATGACGTCCCTCAAGTCCCCCGAACGAGTGTAGCAAAAGTATCTAGACGTCGTTGACGGACGTGAAGCACAATAGCTGCTATCTCGTACGTACGACTTCTTTGCCGGCGGGTTAAAATCACCAACCCCATAGCTTCTGGTGATGAAAAGGAAAAACGTCCCTCGTCGGTTGAGGCTGCCTAAGCGACAGGGTTGGATAAGCTCACTGTGGTTACCCACTCCAGTAATACCCTTTTTATTTACTTGTCGCTTCAATGCCTCCATCTCTGCCACCATCCTCTGAATGAGGGCATCTTGATCTCTTAGCTTATGTTCTAGGCGCTGAGTATGTGACTCTCTTCGTTGCTGATGCTTGTCTAGACTCCGTGAGTGGTCAGTGCTCCTTGCGCGCTTGTTGAGCACATCTCTGGGGAGCCCTCTAAAAGAAGTTTCCAAGCCCGCCATAGTTGGAATGGCAGGATGGCCATCTCTCCTCCAGACTGACTTTGGGGTGATGCCATCGACAATGGACAACGGTGTTTCGTCGTTGTGAGCCATGAAAAGTGATCGGACAAATTTGGAGGATAAGGTTTTGTTTGTCTAAGTTTTCCACAGACGGTGCCAATTATACGAGGAGCAAATATTCGTCGCTTTCCGTACTCCTCGTGTCCAAGCTTCTCTTCTTTCCAAGTGACCTGAGAACACAAAGACTTCAAGCTAAAAAAACCCTCTGGCGGTCAAGTTAGCACACTTAGAGATAAGAGAGAGAGAGAGAGAGAGAGAGACAAATGGGTAGGTAGCTCCGATAACCAAATGTTCCAGACCTGTGCATGGATACGCAGCACCGTTTATATAGTTTCTACGTGCTCCTCTCTGTCCATCCTTCTTTTGACGCGTACGTATGTTCCCCTTTTACATTCCTCTACATGTAGGTGCAAATATTGCTTAACTCTAAATGACAAAACTACCAAATGGTATCGACACGTACGGATGGCGGAATCTTCTTCCCGCAGTCCCATCATGCCACGTAGCACTTCCCACCGAGCTATGCTCAGCGCGAAGCCACGCCCTTACCTTAGGACTGTGCTACCTGTTTAGCCTCGTCGGTCAATCCTAAACGTAGGCTCAACTGGGCTCCATAGTTACGATCGAGCTTCTGCTCGGTCGAACCTAGTCTTCTGAGGACAAATTCCGTTCAACTTAACATAACACACATCTCTACCAAGCTAGCAGTTCAAAGTTGTCCCTAACTTGACCGGACCGAGTTCTCGATCCAGCACGTATCCAACGTTTGACCGAGTAAAGACCTTGACTCCGGCCCAAACCAGCTCGGCCCATTGTTAGGTCATAAATCTCTCTCTCATGACCTATTTTAGTAATTATATATATAAGAACAAAGAATGAAATATATTTGTAACAAAGTATAGTAAGAATTGCAACTCCCTTCATAAATGATTAGTGAAGTGATATTTGTTAATAGTTTAGGCGGTCATGGTGTAATTAATTGTTGTTAAATTAAATTTTTCATTTCGCTACAGTGTAAAATAATTATTTTGGGTAAATTACCGTACAATTTTTTTAAGAAAATACAATAAATCTCATAAGTTTAATATGATTACATTGAATTTGCTTAATATAATAATTCACATAATACTCTACCCCATTTTTATCATAAATTTGTTAGTCATTTAGTCAAAAAATGATGTTATATATTTTACATTGAAATATTGTCTTACTCTATGTGCATTAGTTTTAGTATCTTTAAATTTATTAAAAGATATATTAGTATAATTATGTCAAAATTATCAGACTTTTTGTATTTTATGTAAGTTTCAAGAAAAATTAATGTAATTTATCCCATTATTTTTGAATCTGTATATATTGATTAATTAAAATGACAAATACACCCCTTCTAAAATAATATTTGATAGAGAGAGGCTTCTCTCCAATTTATTGTGTGGATTGGAACATATTATTAGGCCCGTAGGGTCCACCATAGATCTTGTTTTGATAATTCGAACCATTCAATCCGTAAAACTCATCGAGTACTCCATGCCTGAAAAAAATCACATTGATCGAATATCGATAGCTCCTTAATTAGAATATATTTTTATTAATGGTAAATATAATTTTAAAAATAAATTATTAACAAAAATGTGTTTCGATCAAAGGGCTACTTATATCCAATTAACGTGATTTTTTACATGCATAAAATACTCGACAAATTCTACATATTGAACAATTCAAATTATCAAAACAAAACTCATGATAGACCTCATAGACTTAACAGTACACTCTAATTTACATAGTAGTAAATTGCCTATTTGATAATGGTTTATGGGGACAATGGTGTAATTAACCCATTTTAACACACCCAACCGGGAACTTCTATTTCCACCCATTCTTTTATCTCTGTGTACATAATTTTTCAATGCACACCCTTATGAAATTAGTTTTATGTTTTGTTCTCAGTTCACACCTTACATGTTCCAATTATACCCTAAACTAACATTCTTGTACACACACTACTATCCATTTTTTATTCCACTCACCTTGAAAACACAACAACATCTTTCACAAGAAATCCCTCAGCAAATCGCTCCATGAATCTTCAGATTATACAACAAACTGCCTCTTTTGATTTCCAATTACATTATCAAACTTATTCATTCAATTAGCAATCTAGTTAACATCGAAAAAGTCATTAATTGGTATCGACTTGTATCAACATAGATCTTGAAACAATAACGTTTTGTATCAAACTCCATTGAAGACGTATAATTCTATCTATCTCTTATTTTTCATAAACTCTTGTTTTTTTTAAAGTAATTTGATTTTGCTTATTCAGTATTGATTATCCAAATAAAGAAGGTTTATTTGATTTTTAACTTCTAAAACATATAAAAAAAATTCGAAGCTGGTTTCCGAAATAAATTTTTAAATTCGAAAGTTGAGTTCCGAATCCAAATTTGAAATTTGATTTTCGAATAGAATTAATAATTTTGACAATTAATATTCGAAAAAAGTAATATGTTTTGGCACTGATTTATCGAATTAAAATCGTGAAAAAAAATTTTACACAAAAATTTACATTTTCATAACTGCCTTTGTTGTATTAATATTTCATTAGCATTGTACAGCAATGATTGAGGGCCACAATTTTTGTGGCTCAAATAACTCGAAATTACTAAAACGACGTCGTTTTGAGTACAAAACAACTTCAAAATTACCAAAATGACATTATTTTAATAATTTTAAACCATTTAAGTCACAAAAATTGTAACCCTCAAATATTTTCCAGCATTGTATTCGGAATTATTTAGGTGGGTGAAAATAGACTTTACCCACCCAACCATTGCCAACGAGTCGATATCATCAAATAGCATCAACAGTGTGTGCAGTGTGTGTACCAGTTGACTCTCTCTCCTCTCTCTATATCTCTCTCCAAAGGGGTGTTCCAACTGAGGTAAAATCAATCCATTTTCACTCTCTATATTTATACATATAATTACATGATTTCGGTGATATATATATATATATATTGGATTCATCTGAGAATCTAATGATCGTTGGTTTTCATTCTTCGCCATTGATGATTTAGCTTAAACTTCACGCTGTTGGAATTGGTTCATATGATATGTTTCTGTGTATACACATGGCTATGTTTGGAACATGTTAGACGCGTTCCGTTCACTGTTGATTATATGGTTGTTTTTGTCTGCCGAGAAAACATGGGGGAAAAAAAAAAGGAATTGTGGAGGTTAGAGTCGTACTTCTGGATTTTTTTTTTCTTTTCGTCCAAGTCTGAGGGAATCAAATATTCATCTCCAACACTTCACCAAAATTTTCATCTGATTTGATAAAAAGCTTATTTGATATGAACTATTCCAATCCTTTCATCATTTTTTTTTTATTTTATAAATTTACCTCTTATCCCAAATTTTCCTTTTCAACTCTGATGCTTCATCTTTTTAAATTTTCATCATATTCAAATTTGATTAAGGATTTGATGAGTTCTCAATTTGATGAAAAAAATGATTATCCCTTGATTTGATGAACAATTGATGAATCGATTGGATATAGATTTTGAGCACTCTTTCATCAAATTTAAATTTGGTGGAAGAAAAGACGAAGGATTGGAGATGGTATTGAAGGAATTTTATTGTATTTGTGGGTTAGGGTAATGCGAACACTGTATATTGGATAATGGATTCTTAATAATGGTTGAGCCGTGAATGCATAAATTTCCTGTTAAGTTATTCAGTTTCACTTTATTTGAATTCACACACTTGTCCCCCAACTGCCCATTGAAGTTTGCAAAAGCATAGTGATGAACAATTCAACTTTTGGTTTCTTAGGAAACTCGAATACTTTGAAAACCATTATTGCTACTATTTATAATGTCTTTCTTTGCATGTCACGCAGTCAAAATCAAAATTTGCATCGTCAGACCAAAAGCAAAATTACTTTTCATGATAATTGCACGTACGATTCTAATGGTCCTCCATCTGTCTCTCATACTGATAAACAGACCATCACATTCTACAAGAGTAATTTGAATGCCTATTGTACTTATTTACAAAAATGAATGAATAATTTATCTCTAAAATGAGTACTTTAAATGCATTGTGCAGAAAATAGGTTATATTTGGGGTTTGGAGTGGATTTAGTTTATTTATTTATTTTGGTATATTGAAAGCCGTAGCCTGGGAAGGGTGGAGTCTTGCTTGTGGCCGGACTCAAAAACCTTTTTAAATTTAACCTCCTAGGGAGGTGCTTAGATTCTAGCTAACTAGGCTATCCACAGTTGATTTGGGGTGGATTTATTACTATGTATTTATTCTTCAGATGGAGTTTGAAGTTCTCTCTATAGCTTCATTTTCTAGGCCATATGGCCTTCATCTCAATTTTAAAATGTATTACTTAGCTCTTGAGATTAGCTCTTAGCCTCTTACATGTGATATAACTTATGAGATATTGTTTTCGTCACTTGTTTAGATCACATATAATAATGGTGAAGGCTGTTGTTGTTCTTAACAGCAGTGAAGGTGTCAGGGGCACTGTCTACTTTACCCAAGAAGAAGACGGCACGTTTTGCTAAACTCTAGTATTCAGATATAGTGTGTATAAGCATGCCAGTTGTGTTGGAAATTTAAATTATTTTGTTTGCTGTATTGCTAGGTCCAACTACAGTTACCGGAAGCCTTTCTGGCCTTCAACCCGGACTTCATGGTTTCCATGTCCATGCTCTTGGTGATACAACAAATGGTTGCATGTCAACTGGTAATTTTCAACCCCATAAATTCACCATCTTTATTTGTCATCCATGGATAGCCAAGAAACTGGGGAAAAAAAATTATGATAGTAACCAGGTTCAATATCAAGAATTCTCACTTTTGGTCATCTAAATTTTCAGGACCACATTTTAATCCTGTTGGCAAAGAACATGGTGCTCCTGAGGATGAGAATCGCCATGCTGGTGATCTTGGTAACGTTGTAGTTGGTGAAGACGGTATGCTTTCCTTTGGTGCATGCACTCTCTTTTTCCATGTCATCATAATTATCTGCCTTTTTTATTTTTTAATCATCATAATTCTACCCATCATTGCAATAGTATTTTTATTTATTTAGAGAATCTTGCTAAACGAGGAGTCTAGTTATTTTAGGGTCAATTGCGATTGTTAGTGCGAGCCTCGGGCACTATGTTGCCTTTTTTTATTGAAGCTTTTTCCAAAATCCAAACTGATAATACAAGAGAACTCTTGGTATTTATGGTATGATGGAGGATATTTTGCTTTGAAATGAAAAGGCGGCCATCTATTTTTATGAATTTTGAAGACAATTATTTTTATGAGTTGAAGACAATTCTGTTATGTCAAGTTATAGCCATCACCTCCATAATTTATATCTTTTTCTGGACAGTATTGTGATTTAAGTTATGGCTTCATATCTTAACATGCCATGATTATTTTTTCCTGACTTTGTATGTCTCAGGAACTGCAAGTTTCACGGTCGTTGACAAACAGGTGAATTATTTAACCAATTCCAGTTAAGACATGCTGTATGGACTGTTAATTTAAGATTTCTGACTTGTTTGCTTTGTGCAGATCCCTCTCTCTGGACCACATTCCATAATTGGCAGGGCTGTTGTTGTCCATGCTGACCTCGATGATCTGGGAAAGGGTAATGCTAAGTGAATGTAATTATTACTATCATTGCATTTCCTTTTAGGGTTTCTATATTTCAGTTCCACCTTATGCATGCTGTTTCATTTTCAAAATATGATATAATATGACCTTTAAGTGGAGGCAAGAGCAAGAAGGAGGGTTCATCTAGCATTGCTTTTGATTTTTCACTAATAAACATGTAGGCGTGTTTGGACATTTCATGAAACTTGAATATTTATTTATTTTTATTTGCATAATAATTGATATTCTTCACAAAACCATTTTTGGGAATGCTGTTGTAGTAAATGCATCATGAAGGCCAGCAGGGTTTTTTGCTAGAGATGTTTTATGTTTCAAAGTTGTGAAGCACCTGAGTGGACAATTTCACTTGAAAGAAACCAAAAATGTTTTGAAAAAAATAACTCTAGACCATTAACAATAGTCATGATTTTACTCTTTTTGGCTCTTAAGTATAGTCATGAGTTGAATTGAAATCAACCTTCCAGTTTGGCATCATTGAGGGATGAATTTATTGTATAGCACATTTGAATAATGTACCATGAGATTTTTACTGTTCGGAACTATTCTTTCTTTCATCTAGCCTGTTCTTCATGCAGCATTTCAAATGCTACCCTTTTTTTGTTCGTTTGTTTGTTCAGGTGGCCATGAACTGAGCAAAAGCACTGGAAATGCTGGCGGAAGGATTGCCTGCGGTAAGCTTTCTGGTTTCATGTTTGATGATAAACAAACACCATTTGAATTGTTTGCACTTAATCGCTTGATTGATTGTATACATTGTTGGATTTGTTTATATATGATGTTAATTAGCCCTAATCAATTGACATAAGCTTAATATATTTTTGCATTCTGATTTCATTTTGCAGGAATAATTGGCCTTCAGGGTTGATTAGCCACTCACGAGTTGCATTTTACTTTGAAAATCTTGCAATCGAATCATAACCCTGTAACTCTCTGAAAATCAAGTTGATAGCAAAAGGCTTGGTTGGTGATAATAAAGGATTGCTTGGCAATGGGATTGATAAACTTATGGTTTGGTTTTGTAATGCTTGTTATCTTCCTTTTCCCAGTAGTGAAGTGAGTTTTTCACCTGGAACAAATTTCTAGCCACCTTATCTTGGCTTGTTTTGCAGCTCTCTGGGTTGGGGTACCAGTATCACTTGCCCTGAAGGCCTATAGTCCGGTCCGAATGAGGCTTGGGCTAAACTTGGACCTAGGGTTTGAAGCTTGGTTTGTTGGCCTTTGAGACCTGGCCTGGCCTACAAGCCTCGCAGAAAATATGAAAAAATAAGGGAAATTAAATAAAAAATAAACTCCTAAAAATAGGCTTGAATCTCGGCTAGTTTACCCATGAACCCATTGGCTTGTGAGCTTGCTTGGTTCGTAGGTTGGGCTGTCAAAAATAATCTGTCGGGCTTAATCAATGAACGGGCTTGGACACAATTTTTGCGGCCTGCGAAGCTAACCCTTAGGCACGGATATGGTTAATTGAGCTTGAGTTGCATTCAAATTTGTGTGTACACTTTAAATCCCACTCTACTCTCCTTATCCTGACAAACAAATGAATGTTGTCCCATTTTCTCCCCTCCTCATACCTCATTGACTGCTGTCTGTTCCGAAGGAAGACATGCCTCCGTAGTATCTACTAAAAAGAAGAGAAAAAAAATCTTGTATGAAATTATTTGTCAATTATCAAATAACACAATTCAAACAAAAAAAAAAGAAGAAAAAAGTTTGTGAAATAACCAATAAATATTAAAACAAAATCATGTAACAATTACTATCGTTATAAAGGTGTCATTAAGGCCTCGTCTAACAAGTGTCTTTTTTTAGTCAAAAAGTCAAAAAATTACTAAAAAAATTAAAAAGTCAACAACCTATACTAAAAAGTCAAAGATTCTCTATTCTCTCTACTTTTTGCATATCTTTTCGTAAAAAGTTAAAATGTCATCCCAAACATACTAGTTTTTTTTAGCTCATATTTTAGTCAAATAGTCAAAAAGTTACTAAATTAGCCGGTTTCCAAACGAGGCCTAAATTACTGAAAAAACGTGAGATCCTAATTTTGAAATTTATAATAACATGAATTACTCTATGTGAGCTATTGATTGGTTTAAAATCAATCACCTGTACTTAATATAATGCCACATCATTAAAGGGGGCATGTTTTAATTTAAAGATTTCTAACATTTCTTTGACACTGTAAACTTTTAGAGGACTGAAGGGTCCATTTAGGATAATTTAAACCCCTTTCGAGTTTGTAGAGGGTCAGAAATTAAACCCCAAATTAAGTATAGGCCTAAGTACTGAGGTTGCCTTTCTAAGACGACTGGGAATGAAAAAAGAGCATGGGCTAAAGCCCAAGGGAAATAAGCCAACAATGGGTTAAAGCAGGTCCGACCCGCCAAGGGTCCAAACGGACTCCACGAAGGAAAATTTCTAAGTCAAATTGCAGAGGCAACACATACGACAGTCAAGTTGCAGAGGGAACACTTGCGGCAGTCAAGTTGCTTAGGCACTTTGCCTCAGCGCCGCCATTCCCTAATAATGTCGGTTCAGCTGCCATCTGAAGTTGTTAAGAAAAGAAAACAGAAGCAACTAAGTTGCACAGGCGACACTTGCGACGACCAAGTTGCAGAGGCACTTTGTCTCAACGCCGTTATTCCAAGTATTATCGGTGCTGACGCCATTCGAAGTATTGTCGATTCCGCGTCACCTGGAGTTGTTGAGGGAATGAGAGAACCGAAACAACTAAGTTGCAGAGGCATTATTTGCAGCACCCAAGTTGCAAAGGCACTTTGTCGGCGCCGCCATCTCCAATATTGTCAATTTTTCCATTTGAACTTGCCACGGGAAATGATTGTAACAGCAACTACAGCCGCCACAACCAACTTGCAGAGAGAACATCCCGCCAAGGTGATAGCAACCTTTGAGTAAAGCTTCCCCTCTGCAAGTAGAGGCTAATGCTTGGCGTTGATAGTAGGCCCCAAAGTTCATTACCTTGGCGCTAATAGCAGGTCCCAAGACTTACTGGTTGGAGCTAATAGCAAGCCTAAAGATACCAGTTTACCGCGGCAACCCCTCGAAGATGGAAGTAGGGCAGCCCGAGCGCAAGGGACTCCCTTTCCATTTACCCAGGTCATGAACCTGCCTTAGTCGCACAGACAGGACTAAGGAAGCCCCCTTGGGCTTGGTACTAAGGCACAACATAACTGATAGCAGGCTTGGCTGTGGCCTTCGTTCTGAGAAGCTGGGGAGTTTGTGGTTAGGTAACTAAGGGTGGAGGCTTCGCTGAGTTGAGTACGAACATAGTCGATAGCAGACTAATGGAGTCCTGATAACGCATGTACTGGTCAAGTAGAATTGAGAAGGCAAGTGCAGCAACAAGGTTTACCGTTGTAAGTGTACTTGTTGAGGCTCGAGCTGAGAAGGCAAGTGCAGCGGCAAACACTCCTGCTACAACTGCACTTGCTGAGGCTCAAAAGTGAGTTGTAGTACCAAACACTCCCGTCGCAATTACACTTGTTGAGGCTTAAGAAAAGTAGTTGCGGAGGCAAACAAATAGTACACAGTACATGCAGAGGGACAAGTGGCACCTTCAGCTTGGTGGCTCAAGGCAGAATATTCCATGTGATCCTTTGGGACACATGTCCTCTCTCTATTTGGCCACTTGGTGTCCTCTTGGTACCAAGGAAAAGCCTATAAATAGGACACATTTTCCAAGGTTCAAGAAGAGGAATTTTAGGAATTTGGGAGGAGATACTGCCCATTTGTGCACTGCCATATATTTCTTCTTGAGCTACTTGTTTCACCATCACCCAGCTGCTCACTCTCCAACTTCCCAGATAGTTGGTACCGCTTATCCTCTAGCCATTCCATCATTGTTGGACCATTAGCCTATTTTTGCCTCTCTAATCACCTTCCTAACCTTAAACCCCCTTACAATTCTGGCGACTCCGCTGGGGAGGTTGCTTTGTTGATGGTTTATACCCGCAATGGCTTACACACTTCACTGGAAAAGATGGCAAAAGATGAAGTTCAATAACCCCCACGACAACAAGGCTCTTCCAATGGCAAAACAACACATGTTGAGGACCATGACCACAGTGTTGTGGTTAAGATGGCCCAGTCACTCCAGGATACACAGAGGGAGATCATGGCAGCTTTGCAAACTCTCACTGAGGCTATTATGGCCATGGCATCCAGACCAGCTCCAGCATAGGCACCTCCGCTTGTAACAGTCCCAAACCTAGCGCCTAACTTATTCCCTGGGAATCAGGCTCCGATCCAAGTGCCTTCGGTGGTACCCAGGCGAACGGTACGGTTGCTGGTTTAGCTACCCAGGAGCAGACTAGACCACTCCAGCCCACTCACTTTGTTACTCTAGCCGATATACAAGCTATGCTCAAGCAAGAGCGCAACAAGAAGCAACTACCATCTCTCCCCGACCCATATGTAAAGCCCTAATACTCTCAGGAGATATTGGTTATGCCATACCCAACTAGGTATACAGTACCCAAGTTTATCAAGTTTAATGGGAAGCAACGCAATGCCAGAGAACATGTGGTGAGGTTCATTGAAACTCTCGCTGTCCATAGTAGTGACCACTTTCTGCACCTTTGGGAGTTCTCCAAATCACTCACCAAAAGGGCTTATAGTTGGTACGTAAACTTGGTCCCCAACTCGATCAAGAGTTGGGAGGAGATGGTGGACAAGTTCCATACGAAGTTCTTCAAAGTCCAAGAGAAAGTTATAACCCTTACGCTCGGGCAAGATGTCCAAAAAGAAGGTGAGGATATATTGGACTATGTCAAGCGATTCCAGGATAAGGTTATTGACTGTCATGAACCAGTGGATGAGGCCTACTTGGTCAGCATATGTGTGGAGGCCGCCATACCCGACTACAAAATTTTCTTGGTGAACCACAATCTGCCTACCTTTTTAGCCTTGGCTGAGGCAGCTAAGAACCTCAATACCACTGGCCCTCTGCATAGATCTCGCAACAGTCACCGCTACTCTCGCAGTAGCAGAGTTGCTATGGTAACCTCTGCAGGAGAGAGCCGCTCGCAAGAGGAGGCGTCATCCTCTCGGAAGAGGAAGAGTTATGAGGACAGAAATCCATATCCTTGCACCCTTGAGAATGTTAATGCCTTGGTTAAAGAATGGGTAGTCGATGGTGAACTTACTTTGCCTCCGGTTGACGTCCCTCCAACCAAGTAGGACAGAGAAAGCCCAGATTATTGTATCTATCACAGAGCCACCAGACACCCTACTAGGGACTGTTGGACTTTGAAAAGTATCTTCAAGAAGAAGGTTGATGCAAATGAGTTGAAGTTAAAAGATGCCGGTAACCGTGATGTAAGGAAGGACCCTTATCCTAACCACAAGGAGAAGAGGAAGAATGTAAATATGATTGGCTATCTAGGGCCTGTGCACGATCAAGTGCACATGGCGTCCTACTATGATGAGTTACAAGAAATTAAAACTAGCCAACTCCCTGAAACAGTACCTACGGTGGCAAAACTCGCAGAGAATACTCATGCTCAAACCTTGCAAAATTCTGTCAAGTTTCGTACCTTCTTTAACCAGTTGGGGCTGAGCCAAGCCACTAGGTTGGAAGCAACAAAGGCCCTCATCAACATCTCTAAAGTGCACCATACTGAAGTTGTTGAGGCTAAGGAGTATGTGCCTTGGCGCATCCAGGAAGATTATGGGGCCCTTACTTTTTCAGAGGCAAACAGAGCATACCCATTTCCTTATACCCTTCCTCTTTTTGTCACAGCTTACATCAATGACATGGAGTTCAAGCATGCTTTCCTTGATGGCAGAGCATTCATAAACATCATCACTACCGACACCTTTGCGAAGGCTAGCATCCTAGAGTCCAGGATGGTCCACCAACCCATTACAGTGATGGGTTTTGGCGGTGAGAAAAAGGTTACTAAAGGCCATGTTGTAGTGGACTTAGCAGTTGGCGAGATCCGCTCCGCCACTAAGCTCCATGTGATTGAAGCGGACACAAATTACCATATGATACTTGGCAAAGCTTGGATGCACCGATATGGGCCTATCTCGTCGAGTTATCACCAATACATAAAGGCAAAGTTAGGAAAGCGCACAGTGACCATAAATGCATCTGAAAAGCCATTTGGAGTAGAAGATGCACACTATTCTAATACAGTTTTCTTTACTGAGCTGTCAACAGATGAAACTCCAAGGACTGGTAAGGTTGCAGGGGTAAAATTGTCGAAGTGGGAAGACATTTGAGATGCAGAGGCTACTCCAGAAAGCAGTAGGCAAAAGAGGAGTAGCAAGTCTACAAGTCCTCCACCAAAGATTGTTAAGGTGCGCAAGGACGGCAAGACAGTTTACTATCTATGATGGTCTTGGAGGCCAGACTTCATACCTTGGGAGAATGGCCCTACGGCAAATAAATGTGATGGTGATGAGTCCCGAGGAGGGTTAGTGGAGACGCTTGAGCCTGCCCCTGAATGCATGCAAGATAGACCCAAACCGCAGCAGGAGGTACTTGCTGAGGTCAACCTCAGTGACTTACCAGGGCAAAACAAGCCCGTGTTTATTAGTGCTACAATGGCTTCAACAGCTAATGCAAAATTGATAACACTACTGAAGCAGTACAGTGACATCTTTGCTTGGACATATGATGAGATGCTTGGTCTTGACCCATCTCTTGTCACCCATCACTTGGACATTTTTTCCAACTCTAAGCCAATAAAGCAGCATGCTCAAAAGTATCACCTTGATCTTGAGGCAAAGATTAAAGAAGAGGTAGAAAGGTTGTAGAGGGCCGAGTTCATTGAACATATACAATACCCAACTTGGCTAGCAAATATTATGTCTGTGAAGAAGAAGAACGACCAAATTAGGGTCTGCGTAGACTTTCGCGACTTGAACAAAGCTTGACCAAAAGATGAGTTTCCATTGCCCCATGTTGACACACTTGTCGATTCTACCACGGGCCATCAAATGTTCTCCTTCATGGACGGGTTCAGTGGTTATAACCAGATCAAAATGGCACCAGAAGATGCAGAAATGACAGCTTTCAAAATGCCCTTGGGAAATTTTTTTTATACAGTGATGCCCTTCAGTTTGAAAAATGTAGAGACAACCTATCAACAGGCTATGACTGCAATGTTCCATGACATTTTACATCATGAAGTGGAAGTGTATGTAGATGATTTGGTGGAAAAGTCTACCGAAGCAAATCGGCACCTTTGTAACTTGGAAAAAGTTTTTCAGCATTGTCAAAAATTCTACTTAAAGATGAACCCTCTGAAGTGTGCCTTTGGAGTTACTGTAGGAAAGTTCCTTGGCTTTCTGGTACACTAACAGGGAATTGAAGTAGATAGGGATAAGATCAAGTCAATCATGGAGATGCTACCGCCACAATCGCAAAAAGCCTTGAAGAAATTCCTAGGCAAGTTGTCATACCTTAGGAGGTTCATTCCAGCCCTTGCTGAGATAACCTTTTCCTTTGGGACACTGCTGAAAGAGAATCACAAGTTTGAATGGTTGCAAGAACACCAATAGGCATTTGATATGGTAAAGAAAGCACTTACCTCTCCACTTACAAAGATTGCCCCACAACCTACAAAGCCTTTGCTATTGTACCTGACCTCTATACCCCGGTCTATTGGAGCTCTACTTGTCTAGGACATAGATGGTGTTAAGAAACCAGTCTATTACATCAGCCGCAAAGTCAATGGCGCTGAATCACGGTACATCCTAATTAAGAGGCATTATTTAGCCTTAATCTTCACAGCACAGAAGTTGCGCCACTATTTTTTGGCACACCGGATCCGGGTTGTGACTAGGAGTGATCCAGTCCGTTACTTATTGAGCAAACTCGCTCTGACCGGAAGAATGACAAGATGGCTTTTGGCTCTAGCAGAATATGACATCACTTATGTTACTCCCAAGGCTATTAAAAGCCAAGCACTCGCAGATTTACTAGCACAATTCCCATCTGGTGAATATGAACCTGCAGAGGTACCTCTACTAGGTGAGGTCCATGTATCAACAGCTGCAGTTGAGACTTATTGGGACTTAAAATTTGATGGAGCTTCTGCAGTTGGGAAAGGTGAGAGAAGTTTCATCTATCATATAAGCTTGACTTTGAATGTTCAAACAACAAGACCGAATATGAGGCGTTGATACTAGGTTTAATTACTACTCAAAAGAAAGGCCTCCGTAAGTTGAAAATTCGAGACGACTCCAAGCTAATTGTCAAGCAAACAATGGGTGATTTTGCCTTGACGGGACCTCTGTTGGCCCCATATCGCACCAAAGTTCAAAGGTTGCTCACTCAGTTTGATAATGTCCAAATCCAGCATACCCCTCGAACACATAACCATTTCCCTGATGCCTTGGCTACACTAGGGGCAAATGTGGATATAACAGATGATAGTATAGTCATCGTCATCAAGAAAAGAACAACACCAACAGTGTTAGCCAAAGAACATACAAAGCAAGATGCTAAGGGATGGAAAGCAAATATAATCTAGCAGTTGAAAACAGGCCAGGGAACAATCAGACCAACAGAACTTGCATCATTTCTAGTCCTAAGAGGAGAGTTGTATTTTTGCGGTCCCAACAACCTACTGGCAAGAAACGTAAGTAGACAAGAAGCAACTGACAGACTTAAGCAGATCCATGCTAAGTCCTGTGGAGATAAAGATATCAGTCTATACCAACGGATACATATACAAGGGTATTATTGGCTAGAGATGGAAAAGGAAAGCACTGAGTTACAGAGGCAATGTGTAAAATGTCAGTCCCATCCTTAAGAGGAAGAAGCCTATTTCTTAAGTAGTGAGGAATGGAGGCAGCCGTATATTGACTATCTTGGAAATGACACACTGCCTAAGAACAAAGCCGATGCAATTAGAGTTAAGAGGCGGGCCCTCCGCTTCTTCCTTGACCAAGGCAAGCTGTACCACAGAAGCTTTGAAGGGGAACCTTTGGCGTGTTTATCAAAGGACGACGCAAACAAAGTGCTGGGGAAAGCCTACAAGACAGAACATCAAGGAGCGCAGTGATTGTATGGTGCACCTTATTCACCTCAACTACTACTGGCCGACAATGGAAGAAGATGCTAAAAACTTTATAAGGAGATGCCAATCCTGCCAGAAGTGTGGGATCTTGATACACGCACCGGTGGTCAAACTACACAACATTAAGACTCCTTACCCGTTTCATACTGGGGCATTTGACCTGGTTGGTCCTATAGCACAACAATCTAAAGGCCACAGATAGACACTCGCAACGACTAAAATTAGTACCAAGTTGGTAGAGGCTATACCAATGAGGAAGGCAGATGGGGCAGGAGTGGCCAATTTCATTATAGAAAACATAATCCGTAGGTTTGGCATACCCAAGGTGATGTTGTCTGATAATGGGACCCCTTTTGTGAACCGCCATGTGGGAAGATTGTTGGACGCTTATCAGATCAAGCACTACAAGTCTACCTCGTATTACCCACAAGGGAACAGACAAGTTGAGGCAACCAACAAAACCCTCATCTGAATACTGAGTAAAATTATGGATGAAGCAGGGGGCACATGGTCCGAGCAACTTCCCATAGCACTCTGGACATATAAAATGTCAAAGAGGAAGCCAACTCAGGCAACCCCATTTTCCCTAGTATATAGGTCCGAAGCTATGTTACTAGTTGAGTTGGCAGTACCCTCAGCAAGAATGGCTATGTCAGCACACTTAGTCCTAGACAGCAGGAAGAATGACATTGACACAGCCGAAGAAAGAAGAGATTGGGCCTCGCGGGCGATGGAAAAGTATCATCAATGCATAGCTCGCACCTATAATTAATTCGTTCAACATAAGGAGTTCAATAAGAGGGACTTGGCATGGAAAACAGTGGACGCAATCATGCGAGGGAAACCAATCCCCAAGTTCTCACCAAGATGAGAAAGCCCCTACAAAGTTGTTGAGGCAAGTAGTAGTGGGTATTACAAGTTGACAAGAGTATATGATGGGTTCAGAACTAGCCTTATCAACGCTAAGTATGTAAAAGAGTATTTTCCTTAATTTCTTTTGTTCATAAAAAGAGTTGTAAGTTTCTTTGTTAATATTTCCAAAGCAAAGTGTAAAGAAAGTGTCATACACTTAGTAAACCTATTACTCTTGTAAGCACTTAGTGTAAGGAAAGTTTTCTATACTTAGTGAAATTTTATCCTTGTAAAAAAACCTAGTCATGGCGAAGTTCTGTTCATAGCAAGAGTTTTGTTCAGCCTTAGAAGATATGTAAAGACAATGAAGAAAAAAAAAGAAAAAAGAAAAAAAGAGGGGGGGGCAATGAAGTATGACTCAATATCTTTGCTTCTCATAAACATCAAAGTTTTCCATAGCATGATGACAATGTTCAAAATGCAAAGGAAAAAGAAAAAGATAGCGAAAGTGCAAAGAAAAAGAGTCATAACAATGCCACGATACATCAAATCAAGCCCTTCATGAGGGAGTCCATCAAGGTCACATCCCGAGGCAACTGAGCAACCAGCGCAGAGTCCTTTTCTTTGAACCGACCTAGGTTCTGCAGATGCTGCTCCAAGGCACCCTCACACTCTTTAATAGTCTCCTCCAAGGATGCAATCATCGCTACATTGTCTGCATGCTCAAGGAAGCTGTTGATTGCCTGAAGCCTATCCCTCATCCACGGTAGGTCTAAACCATTCCTCTTAAAGCCGCTCAGATTGGCCTCAGCACTTTGCACGAACTTGTTAGGAGTTGTTAGAATCTTCTTAGTAGTGAGGTCATGAATGAAACTGACAAGTGACTCCAGTAGCGTTGTCTGCACCATAAAGCTAGGAACGTTAAAAGCGATGAAGGTGTCATGGTGTATGTCACGACCCAAATCCGTCCCTATAGGTTTAGCGTCGTAACCGGCCAGTAACCTTTAGATTACCGAAGGCCTCTTAACAAAATAACATAAAATTAGGGGCCGTGTAAGCAATAAACAGAAATATACATAGTCCATTGAGCTATGGACATACATGAGACAGATATTCTTAAACTTTAATAAGGATACATGATGTCAAAAGATACAGTTAATGCACGTCACTCCATGTACTATACATATAAATAGAAATTTGTCCATAATCAACAAAAGAATCAAAGTCTTAAATATGCACAAACATATGGCCACGGGACTTGACATGATCCGAAACCTCCTCGAGAGGCACAAAGGGTGGCTAACAAATACAAAACCTTTCAGGCATCATCTTAAGCCTAGTCGCGCGCCTGGTCACCTACATATAAAATATAAATAGTGAGTGGGGGCCCAGTAAATAATAATAAAGTAAAGGGGTTTGAATAAATGATGTCCATCATAGAGTTAGAAATCAAAGTTATGTTAGAAATAGAATCTTGTGCATATTCAGATTTCAAATCAGAAACAGATTCATATACTTGTTTAAATTTATTTTCAAGGTTCATGCATTTCACATCATAATACGTGGCACATCCATTAGCGTTAACAAATCTGATGACCCATAAAGGAACAGCCGTAAAGGTATTCTGATGACCTATAAAGGGACAGCCATAAGGCATTCTGATGACTCATGCCCGGGAGGTACCCATGCACGTTAAACAGTTCGGACCCTCGGTCTCTTTGATCTAGTCTCATTAGTGCAATGTGAAACTGTAGACACCCCATTTTTGACTGACCTTAAAACTCAGATGTAATCGATTGAGCGCTCGGTGATTGCGCATGTTGTGCTCGTTCTGAGGTTTCGGAGTTTTGGCTGAGGTCCTTACCCCCAGACCTCGGGGCCCTTTTTTTGCTTTGCCTCGGTTTGCGAATCAGGTCTTGCTTTCTCTTCCCGGAGGGAGGGAGAGGTCTTGTAGACCATCTCTCAGTGGCCGTAGGCTACTTTTCGTGGTCGCAGGCCAATGTTCCCGTTTGGAGACTAGTTTCCAGTTTTCGGAGCCGTCAGCCGTGCGCCTCGGTTTAGGACCGCTTAACATTCTCCGTTTGGCACAGTTTTTGGCACACACCTTGTTTCCTCTGTCTAGAGGGACACTGCCGCCCGGGAGACCACCTTTGTGGTCACATGCCATTTTTGGTGCTTAACATCCGATTTTCGGGGCACCTAGCCGCGCGTTTTGCCCCTCGAACCCTCGTTTTGCATCGGTGTTGGTTCATTTTTGGCATGAACCTTGTTTTCATTGTTTGGAAGGTGGTACAAGGATGGGAGACCACCTTTTCTCTTGGAGACCACTTCTCTCTCCGCCAGTCGATTTTCTTGTCGGGAAACTAGTCTCCTTGATTTTTAAGCCACATTTGCTGGTCTCCCACCATACCACTAGCTTGCATTCAGTTGGGAGACCATCAAATAGGTTGGTCGACCAACTTTTTTTTGAGAGACCACTTGCCTTGGTCGGCCGACCAGGGGAAGTGGTCGGCCGACCACCTTAACTGGTCGGCCTACTCCCTCCAGTTTTGTCTCTGTGAGTTGTTACCAGTTGTGCCAGCTGGAAGGCACAGACTGGATCCTCCATACACGTGTATGGAGGAT